TTTGGGGCTACTGGGACCTGCGCGACCTGGAGAACGTGTGCGGCGTGCTGGACCTGCGAGACCCGTGGCCTGTGGGGCTTGCACCCGCGGGGCCTGCGAGACCTGCCACGCCTGTGCGCCATGTGGGACCTGTGGGACCTTCGAAACATGCGACACCAGTGGGCCCTGGGGGGGCCTACATGCACTTAGCGTGTCTGGGTGTCCCTGGAGCGCCGCACGCGCCGTCTGTTGAAAATTCAAGCGTTGCGGGACTTGCGGGGCTTGGGGGGGCGCGCGGGACGTGCGTAAGTCCTGGCAGAGACAATGCGGAAGCGAAGTGGTGGACCCCTGCAAGCACCGATCATGGGCCAGATGGCATCGCGTCGTCATTCCGTACAATTGCAGTGGATCGCACGGGCGCGCCCGCCCCCCAGGCAGGCCAACGAAGTCGACGTTGCGAGGCGCGACGGGAACGCCGCTGTCAGGGGGGGATACAAGATGACGATACAGTGCGGCACGTCCTATCGGGATTGCCAGACTCGCGCCGAAAAGCCCCCCCCCCGCCCGAGGAACGCGGGTTGTCCGACTTCATGGCCAGAGCCCGCTGGAAACGGGCGGTCGGGCGCGCACTCTGCACGCATTTCTCCAGCGGCGTTGCGCGCGCGGCGGCCGCCCTCGCGCCCACAACGGCACCCGCGAGCCCCCCCCGCTGGCGCGCGACGCCTCAGCCCGCTCTGCACTCAGCGCGCCCGGGGGGCCCCAGCGCGCTGCGCGCACGCGCGCGCCGCGGGGCGGCGCGCAGCCGTGCGAACCATGGCTCAAGACGCGCGCTGCGGCCCTGACCCGCCCCCCTGCGGCCACGCGGGAAATGGCACGACCTCCAATTCGGACGTGCCAGACCTGCGACACCCGTGGGACCTGGGGGATCTACATGCACATCGCGTGTCCGGGGATCCCTGGCGCGCCGCGTGCGCCACGCGCTGGAAATGCAAGGGCTGCGGGACGTGAGGGACCTGCCTGAACTGTGGGCCCCTTGTAGTGGGCCCCCTGGGGGTTGTGGGACAGGCGAGACCTGTGGGGCTAGTAAGTGGGATCTGTGAGACCCAGACGTAGGAGACCAATGGGACCTGTGGGAGCTGTTGGGCCTGTGGGACCTGTGGGACCTGGGAGACCTACCTGCACTTAGCGTGTCTGGGGACCCCCGTCGCGCCGAGCACGCCATCCGGAGGACCCTGCAGGACCTGCGGAGCCGGGGGGGACTGTGGGACTAATGGGCTTTCTGGGACCTGTGACATCTGCGGGACATGTGGGACTAATCTGTGGGACCTGTGGGACCTGGGAGAACAATGGGACCTGTGGGACCCGTGGTACTTGTACCTCTGGGGCCTGCGCGATCTGCGACACCAATGCGACATGTGGGACCGGTGGCACCTGTGGGAGCAGCGGGACCTGCGACACCTGTGGGCTCTGGGGGGGGGTACCAGCGCTTAGCGTGTCTGGGGGTCCCTGGCGCGCCGCGCGCGCCGTCCGTTGGAAATGTGGGACCTGCGGGACTTGCGGGACCTGGGGGACGTGCGGGACTAGCAGCAGCTCCGATCGGGTCCAAGTCCTGCGGGACTTGGGAGACCGTGGGACGGGTGGTCTGTCCCCGTGGGACCTGCGGGACTAGTGGGGCCTCCGCCTCCTCCTCATTATCATCATACGTCTCTCATCCCTCCTCAGGAGAACAATCATTGCCCTCCTCCTCATAATCATCCTCATCAGCCTCCTCATCATCAGCATGATCCCTCTCTTGGACTTGGACTTGGACTACGGCTCAAGGTCTACCGAGATTAGCCGGCGATGAGACTAAACATGCACACCTAATCTACCAACGAACTTTCGTAGAAACGTCGAGCATTCTGCCAACGCGGCGGCCGCATGATCCCTCTCCCTGCCATCATCATCCCTCCCCCAGCCCCGAAAGGACATACACGCTAAGTACCACCACTATGGATACACGCTAAGTGCGGAGCACTTAGCGTGTATGGGCGTCTCCCCAAAGACACGCTATATATCGGACCTTGACCGTAGGAGGGGCGAGGGAAGGAGAGGCGAAAGGGGAGCGTGAAGGAAGAAAGAGGAGCGTGAAGGAAGAGGAGGAGAGGGAAGAGAGGGATTAGGAGGGGCGAGAGAAGGAGAGGCGAAAGGGGGAGGGGGAGGAAAGGGGAGGAAAGAGGAGGGAGCGAGAGAAGAGCGGCGCGGGCCAGGGCGGGGGGGACCTGCGAGCTCAAACTTCGGGGCGGGAGCTCAATCCCTTCACCTGCTCGACCTCCTCGACCTCCTCCCCCCTCCTCCTCCTCCTCCTCCTCCTCCTCCTCCTCCTCCTCCTCCTCCTTATCATAATCCTCCTTCCTTCTCGTCTTCCTTCCCTTAAATATAACTCTTCTTGCAACATATTCTCGTTTCAGCGTCTTTCGGCCATGTGTTGCTTCAAGATGGAGGGGGTCGCAACATATTTGTACGGCGTTTCGACCTGGCGACAGAAGAATGTTCGCCATCCGGTTTCGACTGCCACAGCTGGCATGCCTCCTCCTCCCTCCTCCTCCTCCTCCTCCTCTCCTCCCCCCTCCTCTCCTCCTCCTCCTCCTCCTATCCTCCCGTTCCTCCTCACATTCCTCCTCATCGTCCTCCTCCTCCCCTCCCCCTCCTCCTCCTCCTCCTCCTCCTCCTCCTCCTCACTCCTCCTCCCCCCCTTCCTCATCCCCTTCCTTGCCTCTGCCCTCCATCCGTGCCGGCACGTCCCTCACGCGCCCCGTGGCCCCGTGGGGAACTCCGCCCGCATCCCTGCGCGCTTCCCCGCCTCTCGTGTCGGCACGCCCCTCGGACGCATCGCGACCCCATCGGGAGAACCCCCGAAAGCCCCAGGTGGCTGCGCCAACATGCTTCTCCGCGTTTTGTGTCGGCGCACCTCTCACACGTTTCGTGGCCCCACAGGGAACTCCACCGAAAGCACCGGTGGCTGCGGCCGCACGGAACCCAGTCTCTCACTTCGGCACACCCCATCACACATTTCGTAGCCCAACTATTGGGGGCTCCACCGAAGGCCCCAGTGGCTGCGTCCGCATGCGCCCCCGCCTCCCATGTCGGCACACATCTCACGCGTGCCGTGGCACCGAAGGCCCCAATGGCTGCTTACCTACGCGTGTCCGCCTCATGTTAGTGCAACCCTCACACGCTTCGTGGCCCCCCCTCCTCCCATGTCGGCACACTCCTCAAACGCGTCGTGGCCCCATGGAGAGCTCCACAAACGGCCCGGGTGGCTGCGTCCGCACGCGTCCGCTGCGTCCCCGCACGCGCCCTCGAACGCTTCGTGGCCCCGTAAGGAGCTCCACCGAAAGCTCCCGTGGCTGCGTCTGCATGCGGCCCCGCCCTTTCATTCACGCACGCCCCTCAAACGCGTTATGACCCACAGGGAGCTCCACCGAAGGCCCCAGTGGCTGCGTCCACAAGCGTCTCTGCCTTTTATGTCGGCTCACCTCTCACACATTTCGTGGCCCCAAAGGGAGCTCCACCGAAAGCCCCAATTGCTGCGTCCTGATGCGTGTCCGCCTCTCATTTGAATGGACCCCTTTCATGCTCCATTGGCCCAATAGGGAGGTCTATCGCGCTAATTTCAGCACAAATCTCACACGTGTCGCGGCGCAGTGGGGAGCTCCACCGAAGGCCGAAGGAGATTGCGTCCGCATGCGCCCCCGCCTCCCATGTCGGCACACCCCTCATACGCTTCGTGGCAACTTAGGGAGCTCAACCGAAGGCCCCAGAGGCTGCGTTTGCATGCGTCCCCGTCTCTCATTTCGGCACACCCCGCACACGCTTCGTGGCCCTACAGGAAGCTCCCATCATTGCGTCACACCTGCCTTGCGGTACTCACACCGGCCTTTCGCTTGGATATCTGTTTGAGTGGTGGGGCTCTCGTCTTGGCCTTGGCGCCGTGCACTTGCGTCTTACAAGTGGAAGGCTTCGAAGATGGAGGGGGCCCTGTCAAAACTGAGTTTGCGCCTGGGAACTCCGCAGCTTCAACATGCGTAATAGCTGCACGGATCCAGAGCTTTCCTTTTCCAAGTGGGGATCTCGCTTGCGACTTCCTCCTTCGAAGTCCACGACCAACTTGTGCAAACATTGCACAAATGGGAACGCTCCTTTGCAAAACGGGCATCTCGCCCGACACCTCGGTGAACTGCACTCCCCAAACTGTGACTGCACGCCAGGGTCCGTGCGTGGGCTACCTCAGAAAATCGGTTGAGTGTGCAAGGCTTTCGGCTGGTGCCTGGTTGACGGGAGCCCGTGGGAGAGCGCTGGGTGGGTGTGCCGAGGCTTCCCCTGGAACCCGACTGCGGGCGCCTCGTGTGCTGGGTGGGTGTGCCGAGGTTCGTGGGCCTGCTTTCCACCGCCACCACCAGAAGTAGGATGGGAGGGGGTCATCCTCCTCCTCCTCTTCGTCGTCCTCCTCCTCCTCCTCCTCCTCCTCATTCCCCCCTCCAACTTATGGTGGTGGTGGTGGAAAACAGGCCCATCAGAGGTGGTGTTTGGTGCCCGCCTGTGGGCGCCTCGAGAACCCCTGGTGCGCTGGGTGGGTGCACCGAGGCTTCGCCTGGTGCGCACGCGTGGGCGCCTCGTGATGGGCCTCTTGTCCACCACCACCACCACAAGTTGGAGGGAGAGGGTGTCCTCCTCCTGCTCCTCCTCCTCCTCCTCCTCCTTCGCCCTTCTTGTCCTCATCCTTCCCCCCCCCTCCAACTTATGGTGGTGGTCGTGGAAAACCGGCCCATCGCCTCGTGTGCTTGGATCTGGCTTCCGCGTGATAACTCCAAGTCCCCGGCGGCCCCTCGGGGCGATGCGGGCACGCCCCGAAAACCGGATTGCCCTCGGCGAGGCGCAGCCGCAGGAGAGCACTACGAGGCTGGAGAACCGCCAATCGCTGACGAGCACGCACGAGAGCATGGAACCTCGACCGTCGAGACGAGCAAGAACAGGATCCTTTCTGGAGGCGCACGCCTGATGCGGAATATAGACTACTGCCGCGCGGGCCGCGGCTAGGCGCGAGCCGCCGCCGTGCCCGCAGCGGGTGGCCGTGGGGGGCGCACCTCGCGGAGGGGCGGGGGCTTGCTGCGAAACATCATTGCTAAATGGTCCTCACTACAAAAGTGTCGTTTCCTTGGTTCCCGTGGACTCAGGGGAACGAAGAATGACATAAAAACAACAACTCGGAGGTCAACGCGGACTTCTCGGATCGGCGTTGGTGCCCCCTGGCGGCGCCTCCGGCGCTAGAGAAGGGGGTCCAGCGCGGATTCAAGAAATCCGCGCGGACCTCCGAGTTTTTATGTTTTTGTCATTCTTCGCTCCCCTAATCCTTGCACATGATTGTTTACTGAACTTCTCTTTACCAAGGACAACGCATTCAGCGGAACAAGGGTTAGCAGGACCTACCAGAGCTTACCAGGGCTGGGCAGAGCGTGGCAAGGTTCATCCAGGCTTCAGGGCCTGTCGGGGTTTACCAAGTCTTTACAAGGCTTAGCAGAGCTTGGCAGGGGTGAGCGAAGCCTGCCAGGGCTCAGCAGGGCGTACAAGGACTTAGCAGGGCTTCGCAGAGCTTGCCAGGGCTTAGCAGTGGCTAGCAGTGCTCAGCAGGGCGCACCAGGACATAGCAGGACTTTGCAGAGCATGCCAGGGCTTAGCAGCTTGGCAGGCTCGGCAAGGCTTAGCAAGGTCGGCTAAGGCCTGGGCAGGGCTGACGAAGGCTTAGCAAGGCTTACCAGCTCCCAGCAGGGCCAGATGGGCTCAGCAATGCTCAGCAGGGCTTGCGGCTTACAAGGATTAGCAGGGCAGTGCTGAGCAAGGCTTGCCAAGCTTAGCTGGGCTGCGCAAGGTTCAACCAGCTTAGATGGGCTCAGCAGGGAGCGCCAAAACTTAGCAATGCATTGCAGAACCTGCCAGGGCTTCGCAAGTGTCCAGACGGCCTTAGTAAGAGTTTAGCAGGGCTGTTACAGGGCTTACCAAGGCTTAACAAGACTTACCAACTATAGACAGGGTTCAGATGGGCTCCGCAAAGCCCAGCAGGCCTCAAGGCTCCGCAAAGACTAGCAGGGCGGAGCAAAGCTTGCCAAGCCTGAGCAAGGCTCAGCAAGGCTTAGCAAGGTTTGGCAACGCTTGCCCAGGCCGAGCAAGACTTAGCAAATCTGAGCAGGGCTTAATGGAGCTTACCCGTCCTTAGCAGGGCTTAGTGAGGCTCGCACAGGCTTCGCCGAGATTCGCCGAACTTACCAGGGCTGAGCAGGGCGCATACCCTATCCATGCTTAGGGGCTTCCAAAGACTAGTCAGAGCTTAAGAAGGTCAAGTAAAGCTTGGAAGGGCTGGTCTTCCGCTGGCTGTGCAAAACTGCACACCCTCACCACCAAGAGAGCCTCAGGAAATCGGAAGAGCCACAACGATTGCCCCCCCACATCCCGAGCATGGTCTTCGAAATTCCAGGCCCACGCCTGCTGGCAATGGGCTGGCATTTCGAGGGCCATGCCGGGGGGGGGGGGGGGGGGGGCATTTTAGCTGTCGATTGGCAGGTCTCCCAGACACCCGCAGATCGCGAAGGTACCGTCCACAAAACTCACACATCTGCGTACCGATGCTGAGGAGGAGAATGATGAGGACGAAGAAGATGAGCAAACCATGCGGCGCGAAGTCCTGCACGTCTCGTGTAACAGACTGCATGCTCCATAACCTCCTGGCCTCGAAATATCAGCCTCGAGCTGGGTTCGCTCCCTGCCCCCACCTGGGACCCCCTCCCCCTACGTAGGTACCCTCGGCCCTGGAGCAACTTGCTCATCCTGGGCTGCGTCCTTGTTGCTGGAAACACACGGACAGAATGACACAGAGTTGAATAGATCAATCCGCCAGCAGCTCGGAGACATAATCTTTCAAACTGCACAGGCGTAAACTTTCGACCATCTGCGCGGGTTTCGTGGATCGGAGCTCGACCCGCCTCGCATGGGGGGGGGGGGGGGGCGGGCAGCGCCGACCGAGGAGACCCGAGCGGACCTCTTGAAGCGCTTGTTCACGCAGTCAGGGTGATTATTCGCCAAGCCTGGGGAGGAGGAGGTCGCTTTTAGGTCGGGAGTGTCCTCCTACAGGCGGATCTTGGGCGAAAAAAATAAAAACATTCAAAACATGTTCAACATACAGAAAAAACAAAACTAACTCCCAAACTCGTCCCCCAGATTATCGTTTGACCACTTTTTGATGTGCCTCCTGTAGAGGGACGTGCTCGACTTAACGCTACCTGGGAAACCGATCCCCCAAGACCCCAGGAGTCGGTGGGTATGCCAACACTCGGGCCCCAAGGGGGCCCGACCGTGTCCACACCCGCCGCCTCCCGAGGCGGAGGGGCGTCGACTCCGCAGACGGGGTCCGAGACTTGGAGAAGAGGCCTCGCTCCCCAGAGACAACTTGTCTGTGAGAGTCCTGAGAGTCTGGATTCGAAGGCCGGTGGGTGGGCGCGAGCCCAAATACGTGGCACGTGGTCTCTTGCCGTGGATCCGCTGGGGGGGGTGGGCACGTGCTGTCGGAATGAGTGGAGGGGGGGGTGGAGGAAGAGGAGGATGAGGGGGAGGAGGACGAGGGGGAGGAGGGAGGGGGGCGGGATTGGGCAGGCTCAGTCAGAAGGTTAATCCCCCCTTGATAACACAAAACAAACACAAAATCCAGAGTATGGTCGTGGCCCGCGATCTCCAGTTCTGCCCCGGGGTCTCCAGTCGTGGCCCGGAGACAGCAGTTTTCCAGCATGCTCGCACAATGTAATGTAGAGTACAGTAGGGGTTCGACCACAAGAGATCTTCCACAAGAAACCCAACCCTGAGACCCCAGGTCGTCCATGGATTCTTGGCGTGGAAACGTCACGCTCTCCATCGCAAAACCATCGAAACCCAAGAAATCCTGGGCACCCAGGAGGCAAGCAGGGTGCTTCTTGGCATTGGTCGCTACGGTATTGTCGTGGACGGTGACCTCAGGTCGTTGCCCGAGGTCTCTGGTCGTGGCGCGTAGTCTTTAGGATGGGCAAGTTCCAACATGAGGAAATCAATTACTCCTTATCCGCCAGTGGCACGGAGTGGAGTGTCCTCGGGTCTCTTGCTCAACCCCTGCGCCTGCATTCGATCCTGAGGACTCTGTTAGGGGCCCGGGCCCCGCATTCTCAATCTCTTGGGGCTTCTCTTTCCGGAGCCAAAATGGCCCCAAGACAGGCCAAGAGGGGCCCAAGAGGCCGCTCAGACGGTCCAAGGGATCCCCGAATCGCTGCACGATCTGTCCAAGACACCCAAGATGTCTCCAAGACAGCCCGAGAAGCCTTCAAGAGAGCCCCAGAAGCCTTCCAACGAGGGCCCCAATCATAGATGTCCCTTGTTTTTCTATGGTAGCGTTCTCGCCTTTTCGTCTTCCCGACGCTCCAAGATGGACCCAAGAGGTCTCCAAGATCGCCCCAAAACTGCCCAAGGGGTCTCCAAGACGAGCCCAAGAAGGCACAAGTGGGCCCCAGGACGGCCCAAGAGGCGCCCAAGACGGCCCAAAGACAGCCCCAAGAAGGGCCCAAGAGGGGGAACGCAACCGAAAATTCAAGTCTTCTGCCTCAAGAAGCCACCAGGAGGCCCCAAGAGGCCTCCAAGAGGCTTCAAAGAGGCCTCCAGGAGGCCCCAAGAGGCCCCCAAGAGGCCGCCCAGGAAACTCCCAAGACGCCCCAGGAGGACTGAGGCATCAAAACTGAAGCCTCCCTCGACATCCCAGCAAACATCATCGAGGTCTGTGACCCACAACCCAAGCACGGTGGCGGGATGGGCCGGAAACCATTAGACCTGGCCCAGCACAGAAACGGAAAGACCGCTTCAGAAAGAGAAACCGAAATTACTCACACCACCGTTCGTACCGGGAGCCTTGGCGGTGAGAGCTTGTTACGTCACCCCTCGCTCTTGGGAGCCTTGGTGTTCAGACATTGTTGCGTTGCCGCCCGTTCCTGAGCCTTGGCTGGGCCTTGGTGTCAAGAACTTGTTACGTCCCGCTCCCTGCTGGGAGCCTTGGTCTTATCGGCTTGTTTACGTCACCGTTCGCTCTTGGGAGCCTTGGCGTGAAGAGCTTTTTGCGTTACCGATCGCTCTTTATTTGGTGTCTCTAGGCCTTCTTGGGAGTCCTATTGGGGATCTTTTCGGGCCCTTTTGGAGGCCTCGTGGGAACCTCTTGGGGGCCTCTTGGGGGGCTCTGGGGGCCTCGTGGGAGCTTCTTGGGGCAAAAGGCTAAACTTGTCGGTTCGTGGTCCCCCTCTTGGGGCCGTCTTGAGGCCCTCTTGGGCCGTCTTGGGCGCCTCTTGGGCCGTCTTGGCGCCCTCTTGGGCCGTTTTGGGGGCCTCTTGGGAGCCTCTTGGGCCGTCTTGGGGCGGTCTTGGGGGCCTCTTGGACCGTCTTCGACGCCGTGAAAGCCGAAAAGCCTTGCATGCAAAAAACTTACCTTTTGCAATCGGAAATCAATGATTTTGGCCTCCTGGTGGCCTCTTGGGACGCCTCTTGGGAGCCTCTTGGGGCCTCTTTGGGGGCTCTTGGGGCCTCCTGGGAGCGTCGTGTGGCGAAAGGCTCGACTTTTTTGGTTCGTGGTCCCCCTCTTGGGGCCGTCTTGGGGCCCGCTTGGGCCGTCTTGGGCGCCCTCTTGAGCCGTTTTGGGTGCCTCTTGGGAGCCTCTTGGGCCGTCTTGGGGCGGTCTTGGGGGCCTCTTGGGTCGTCTCCAACGCCGTGAAAGCCGAAAAGCAGTACATGCTAAAAATATACGCTTTCCTCTGGGAAATCAATAATATTGGCATCTTGGGGCCCTCTTCGGACGCCCCTTGGGCGCCTGTTGGGGGCCTCTTGGGCCGTCTTGGGCTCTCTTGGAGCGCTCTTGGGCCGTCTTGGGGGGGAAACCCGAAAAACATGCAAAAACCCAAAAGAAAACTTCCAAAAACGGCCATTAAACCCATCCGCTCCCCCTACAAACCCCCTGGACCCCCCCCTTAAGGGCTTCGCCCAAAACACAACGTCATCACTTGTACCTCGCTCGTTCCGTTACCTGGGCCGGTAC